AAAAAAAAAAAAAAAAGCCGCGATCGCGATCGGCGGCAGCTCCACCACCTTCTTCGGCGGCAATTTGGCGGCAGGTCCTTCCCTCCGAGAGGGACAGGGACCCTCCGCCGAATTGCCGCCGAAGAGCCCAACATGCCGCCCCTTTCCCTTGGCCGCCCCAAGCACCTGCTTGCTCAGCTGGTGCCTGGAGCCGGCCCTGCCCAGAGAATACAAAAAAAATCCCATTCCCACCAGTTGCTTGGATGATGTGCCCTCATTGGGAAATGAGATTCAGAGGCTAGTGATAGAGGGGGGGAAATAAGCATCTCCAATATTACACAGGACCTAGAAGTTGTTGTAATTGCCAGGACAATGCAAAAGATTGTTTGAAGTGGGACATCATGACCAAAGTAGGGAAGCTTTTTCAGAAAAAACAGGTTTACAGAACAAAATGCAATTGCGAATTAAGAGGAATTAAAACAAAGATTCATTTTCCCTTATTTCCCTGCCCCTCCCATCCCATGGGGCACCTTCTGATGCGCTTTCTGCCGATAGTTAGAATGATGCCATACAATGCTAATGACTGCCGTTCACGTTTCACCTCATTGTTCTCTTCTCTCATATTGTTCCTCTGTGATGGGGAGAGAAAAAAAACAATATAGTTCATTTAATCAAAATCAAAAGTTTGCAGGGACCCAGATGGCTAGCTGGGTCTTTTTAATACAGTTTCCTTATGTCTCTGTTGCCAAAGACATGTGCAAAATATGGGAGGCATGTAACATCATTAAAATAAGACACTATTATTTCTATAGCATCACATGAGTGGACAGCACTTTATAAATACATAGGCAGGCAGGGTGTTATCACTACACAGAAATACTTGACTAGTTTAATACTTGCTACTATTCTCTGAGCTAATTACTAAATCACGCTTTCAAGCCGTCGTCTGTATATGAAATTAGTATCTGAACCACTTTTGGTGCCCACTGCTCCATGCAAACGCTAACTCACAAGATATTAGACTAGGTGGACCATTGGCCTGATCCTGTTTAGCAATTACCTCTTTCAAATCTCTGGATAGGAATGATGGCCTCTTCCTGCCCTTCCATATTTATTGCACTAGAGCAGTGGTTCTCAACCTGCGGCCTGTGGGCTGCTTGTGGCCCAATCAGCCCCCAGCTGCGGCTGATGTGACATCCTCAGGGCCACACAGGTAGGATTGGATGCGGCCCACATAACACATTGTGGGCTGCATATGTGACCCACACTGGTAAACAGGTTGAGAACCACTGCACTAGAGAGTCAAAGATAGCAAGTTTCTTCCATGACACTGAAAGCAAACAGGTAAGGAGCAGCAGAACCTTTTCTTTTCTCCATCCTGCAATACCCATGACCTACAAGGATGCTTCCTCCTACTTTCTCATCTTGTGTCTGTCAGTGATACACTGAACCACAACTGACCACACAAAGACACACCTTTCAGCCACAAAGCCAGCACCTCATTCCACCCCCTCCCCCTGCCCCAGATCATAGCCCACAGAGCTGCAAATGTATGTAGTAGTTTACATTCATTAAAAAAATTAACATGTTTTTTTTCTGCACAAATTTCCCACCTGCCAGTGTAAGCACTGCAGAATGAATTCCTCATGCCAGTGGCATGGAAGGATTTGATAACACAATCCTCAAACAGAGCTAAAATACAAAGGCACGAAGCAGCTGTGATTTTGGCACTAGCAGCAACAAGGTGGGCAGGAACCAACCACGGTGATGTTATGGCTGTAGTCCCAAGCGTACCTGTATGCATTAATGGTGCTGGCAGCTGGCACTATTGTGTTGTAACAGTGATTAGAAATTCAAAAATTCCATAGATTCCAAGGCTATAAGGGATGCTGGTGCTCATCTAGTCTGACATCCTGTATAGTACAGGCCACAGAACTCCTCCCCCCAAATAATTCCTAGAGCAGATTTTTCATTTTTTAAAACAAAATGCTGAATAATGTGTCTTATGTTTGTTGACATCAAGGGCATAGTAATCATGATAGAGTTCTTAGGGATTTTTGATGTGCATTTGGGGAATAGTGTATAGAACAATCTTGAAATAACAGTAAACCACTGTCCCAAAGATATCTGCTTGGTCCTAAAGATCCTAGAGAGCTCAGAACCTTTAAAGTTTAACAAGATGATCAATTTTTCACTGTGTGGACCTGGCTGCTTGCAATTAAAGCAGAGAGGCAGTATGGTTTGGGGGACTGAGCAAACAGCTGAACATAATTCATGCTTTAGTTTTAATCCTGGATCTGTCATTAAAATACTACAGAGACTGGGCAAGTCACTTCACCCCTCCGGCTCAATTTTCTTCTCTGTAAAATGGGGGGCAGTACCCCTCACACTGTAATTGAGAAAATTAATTAGCTGAATGCTAAATACTGTCTTATTCATGTGAGCTTCACTTTCATAGAGCAGAGTTTAAATGATCACATCCCAAAACATATGCATGTACTAATTTTAGTGAGAAAATAAATTTCTTTCCATTTATATAAAAGCAGTTCTAGCTGATAAATATATTTTTAAAATCAATGACGGTATTAGCCTTTTAATCTATTTTTAAATGGTAAGCGTGTTAACAGAATGCATAATCAGAAGCTAAAAAGGGTGAAAAAGAAAGGGAGAGCTGGAAAAGTTATTCTTTGATTGTTAAGGTGTTTTTTTACTTTTGCTTCACTACTTTTTAATGGAGATCCCATCAGCCATATTTCTCTCTCTCATGCAACATGGCAGCATATTGTCAATATACTGACAAGGACAAAGGGGTATACACAGTAATAAGACCTTGCTTTTTAAATCTCTGTGACACAGCTGCCGCTGTTGTAAAGCTTCTATATTTGGTCTTGAGCTACATGAAATCCCATTACGAGCATAAATAACACATCTTGCTGTATATGATATTGGCATCTGATAATAGCCCTATACTGGGGGAGAGGTGTGTATTAATGCTTTGAAACTGCATATCTTCAGCGGGGATCAACATTTTCTTTTGTAATTGGGGTGTGCCAGGGACTTTTTATCTCTAGCAGATTACTCGTTTTTATCGAGGAGTCAGATTGTTTATTGTCTATGAACATAACTATTCTTTTCCATTTCTGCTGCAATAACAATTGTGCATTCGTGCAATGGCACCATCATTCAGTATATACAGCGGTAAAGCTCAAAAAGGCAGCCAACTGACTTCATTCCTGTTTTACAGCAGTCTAGTTAGAAGTGACGTTAGGCATTGTAGAGCCAAGGGCATAAAAGCCTCATGACACAAACCTGTTGTTCCCAGAATACAGATGTCAGAGAACTGAACTTAATTCCAACTAGTATAAAATTGCTTTTCATTTTCCTAAGCAATGCCAAAAAAAAAAACATTCACTCAGTTACTCTTCCATTGCTAATATTGCTGCTATCTGGGTTCTGCTGATCTGAGATCATACACAGTCTAAATACAGTAACTCCTCACTTAAAGTCGTCCCGCTTAACGTTGTTTCATTGTTACGTTGCTGATCAATTAGGGAGCATACTCATATAAAGTTGTGCAATGCTCCACTCTTACCTTGTTTGGCAGCCTGCTTTCACCACAGCCGGCAGCCTACCTATGGCCCCCTCCCCCACAGTGCCTCCCGCCCGCCGGCAGACTCTGCGAATCAGCGCCTTCCCCCTCTTCCCCCCACCTCCTGCCCGCGGCAATCAGCTGGCTTGCGGCGTTTTGGAGGCAGGAGGGAGGAGGAAGGAGCTAGGACTCGGCGCGCCTCCCCCCTCCCTCCCCTGCCTCCCGAACGTAGCAAGCCAGCTGATTGTCCTGGGCAGGAAGGAGGGGGGGAGAAGCGAGGACTCGGTGCACCTCCCCCCTCCCTCCCCTGCCTCCCGAACACGGCAAGCCAGCTGATTGCCCCGGGCAGGAGGCGGGGGGAGGAGGGAGGACTTGGCGTGCCTCCCCCCTCCCTCCCCTGCCTCCCGAACGTGGCAAGCCAGCTGATTGCCGCCGGCAGGAGGCTGGAGGAGCCTGCACCCCAAGTCCTCGCTCCTCCCTCCTGCCCCAGCTGCCCTGGAACCTAAGCCCCCCATTTACATTAATTCTTATGGGGAAATTGGATTCGCTTAACATCATTTCACTTAAAGTCACATTTTTCAGGAACATAACTACAACGTTAAGTGAGGAGTTACTGTATGTTACAGTTGCAGAATGCTATTATATTATTTAAGTGACAATTAATGTCACATAATTAATACTTTTCCCACGTGTTGCTTTTTCTAATTCTGTATATTCTAATTAAGGTGACCAGATAGCCAGTGTGAAAAATCGGGACACTTTTGGGCTGGGGTGGGGGGTGAAGGGATGTAATAGTTGCCTATGTAAGACAAAGTCCCTAATTTCGGGATGCAAAAGTTCATAACATGTTAAAATAATCTATTATAATAAACGTTGATGGGAAAAGGTATGAAAAGGAGACAGAAAAACTAAATGAAAGAACCTAATGATGTAGTTAAAGGACTATGTTAACATCATTCTTAGTAAAAACACAAGATGTGGAACTGGAAATTAATGAACCAAAATTTGTGTGTCTAATATTGTATTAGCCTAATTGGCGGACAAAATAATGAGTGCCTGGGCTGTTCTATCCACCACTCCCTTTCTGGGTCCTGAAAGAGACTTTGTGAGGAGAATATGGAAGAACAGAGAGAGGCTGCTGGAGCAAGCTTTACCATCATGGTTGCTACCCCACTCGGTAGCACATTGGACCTTTTTCATCCTAATCCTGAGGGACGTCCTGACCAGACCAGGCCAGAGAGATGGACCCAGATGACATCACCCTCCCTACCCGCTCCAGCTGAATCCCAACCACCACCTGGGATTAAACGGGCTTGGACTTTAACAGCAACAGCAGCAGCTCCAGCTCATCTCATTTAACATCTGCTCTTTTCCCCAATAGGACCATTATTGCCATTTTTGATACCATCTAAGGGACTGTCAAACAAGGTGTGTGTGTTTCCTTCTAAAAGCTCTCTCCAGCTAAAGGAACACGAATTCCTGTTAAAATGAAAACCTTATTTAATGCTTTGCATTTCAAATGCTTTAACTGTTTTTCCTTCTTTTCTATATCTTTAGTAAAAGGTTAAAAAGATTTTTAATGGTGTGTTTGCCATGGTACTAAGCAGGCTGAGGTCTCTGTACACCAAATCCCAGACCTTGTTTAACATTGTTTAATGTTAGACAGTGATTGGGTCATGTTTACACCTTTGGGCCATTAATACAACAGATCTTTTTTTCAAATGGAATCTGCATGGCTATGCATACTTGCAGTGAGACACTGGTCATAGGAGACTTACCTATTTGTTAATCTTCCGGCTGCATTTCTGAATGTTCATTTATACTTTCAACCTGACTATTCATTTCAGCTGAAAACAAAACAATAAGATTGTCAAACTTCAGTCAAGTTCATCCTGGCAAGTAATAGCTGCTCCTAACCTAAGGGAATAGAGCACTAAAATATCTTTGCTGTAAGTCTTTGTAGCTTTCTCTTATATAAGATCTTCTTAATGGTTTCATTATTTAATGTAGATTATGAACAGTTCTGTAATAAGATACCCATCAAAATTATTAGAGAACCTCTGAATCTAGATTCCCCCCAGACTTTTGGTCTAGATCTGAATTTTCACAAAGTCTCTATAATAGCCCAAACAAAAATCTTGGATTTGGACCCCTCAAACTTTGGGGAAAGTTTGGGTCTGGATTCTGACCTGAAATTTAGAATTTGGACCCATCGCTAATTATATCACAATTAAATGCTGATCTCACATTTTTATGGTTCAATTAATGTAACATTTAATAATAAAAAAGCATCATACACTTTTCATTAAATATAAAAAACAAGGTGTAATTCAAAAGGAAGGCCGTCTCACTCTCTCTACAGTGCCAAAGGAATCACAGAACATACGTACAGGAGATTTGTTCATGAGGTCCTAGCTATACTTAAATAAAATGGGATGATTTCAACATGCACTCTCAGCCTTTGTTCGGAACTGCTTTATTTTTGTGAGTTTTAATGAGACTCTTTATGGTAATCCCATTTTTGTAGTTTATTTTTATGGTAGTATTTAAGTGTTTGGTATGGGCATCCATTGCCGATAGTTGGAGTCTCTCTGGGAAAACCTTAGCATCCAAATGAAAGTTTTGAAAAATGAGCAAAAAGGAAAAAATGTTCTGCTTCTATGCCACGGGGTGTGAACCTCCTTCTGACTCAATATCACGTCAATACACCTGGTAGGATTTGGATGAGTTATTTGTGAATGATTCATCATGCGTATTCAGAACAGACACGGTAATAGCTCCTTTGGTGTATGGAATGAATGTGTAATAGGAAAAGTATCCACTCCAGATTATGGAGAAATGATGCAACATGTGTTTAGCTATGGTTTGTGGATTATTCTTAATAGGCTTTTGCATCGCAGAAATGGAATGCATAATAAAAAACATTAAGGAAAGGAGTCATTGTGCATGTGCAGTAGCAGCTTTTTCAAAACCTCAAAATGTCAGCCAATTTAATGTGGTTGTTTTTCTGAGAATACCAAAAGACCTAGTTCATATTCTAGACTAATTACTTGTGAAATTTAATTCATTTCATTTTTAATTAAATGGATGTTTAGTTATATCAGACCAAAGCATCAAAAACCGGTAAGCCTGCCTTCATTTTTTATCCTATGACAAGCAGCCAATCATCTCACTGTGGACAGTGCAATCCTGCTCAGATGTGGGGAGATGGGGGGGCTTGGGGATGCTGATGGGGAGATATACTTCACATTTATCAGCAACCTTTTGGGGCAATTGTGGAGCAGCACTGCAGGCTTTAACGACAGTCCCATCCAATTCTCCTAGAGCTAGACTGAAGGTTGCAACAAGGACTCAAGGATTATAGTGCAGAACAGGGGAGTTCCACAGGACTTCACTGCATGGAGACAGTTCAGAAACTGTAAATTAATTTCACTCCCAGGCAGAAATCTTGACTGGAGGTTCTCTGCCAGAAGTGGACATTGTCAATCCCCTGGACAAAGAGGATGCAATGGATATTCTAATGCAAGAGCAAGTCCTGAGAAGTGCCAAGCTCCCATAAATCTGATTGACGTTTGTTCCTGCAGTGGTGCTCGTAAGCCCTGCTGTAACAGCAAGAGTGCTATCCCTGTCCCCTTGATGTTACTGGGAATTTTGCGGTGAACTTTAATAGGGCCAGGATTTCACCCAGGGTTGGAGAGCTTCTAAAATAATCAATGGGTCATACTACAGTAACCTAACCTTACAAGTATCATGGAGGGGATAGGCTAAGGGCCTAGGGTGTTTTGTTCTACGTCCGAAAAGGAGCACCTCATAAGTCTGAGGCTCAGCATCACAGGGCAAGTTGAGAATTTCAGTGAGGTTGAACATAAGCTTAATGAACATCAACTGGGAAAGGGATTTTAAAATAAATGAAGATGGGAATTTCCCTAGTGTTTCTCTGTACAGTTTCTCCAGAACTGTCCCTTTAAATTTTTGTGATTTTGGGCCACTCCTCTGAGTCACTAACACTTCTCCCTCCGGCGGTGGGCTCCTTTGTGGCTCTCAACATTACTAGAGAAAGATTTCCCCCTAGCTGGAGAAGTGAATGCATTCCCAGTCAGAGGAGAGGAAAAGCTTCAGAATAACCAAGCATATGACCCATATTACTGAAAGCACGCAAGTGCCATTGGCTATGATAGTGTGCCTTGGAGGTGGGGCATCCTCTCACAAAGAATGAAACTATTTGATACAGGGCAACTAGTCAGGAGTGGCAGTTTATAATCTAAATAGAGAAGATGGATAAAAGGGGAGGAAGAGAAACCTGTGGTGGTGGTGGGTTGTTTTTTTTCCCCAGAAAGATTTTTGAGTTTTATATTCCCAGATTACCAATGAAAGAAAGGTGTTGAATTAAGCCACTAATTCCAAACATCATTAGTTTCTTCAGATATTTTCTAATAAATATTTAATCCTTTTTATATTTTTTTACTTATATTCCCATATTATTAAGGAAGCAGTGCATTTATTTATGGTCAGAGTAAAGTTGTTCTGTTGTGACAAAATATTCATTTCTTTTTACTTGAGAGTAACTTGCTTATGTTCTTTATATGGATGGTGTAAAATTTGTGATGTCAACTGTTCATTTTCTTCCTTTTAATTGCATGGCTTTTGCAAATGATGTGACAGGAAAATTGAAACAAAACTGAAACTTTGAAACGAAGTTGTTGGTTTTGGAATTTCCTAAGGTATCTTTTCATCTTTCTCTTATTCCTATTGTGTCAGTAAATGAAGATGCAGGGGTTTTAAAAAAAATTAAATAAAAAGAATGGAATGGTCACCACATTATTAAAGCAGTGAAATGAGTGAGCAAGCTAATAATGGCTGGAAACCAACTTCCATAATCTCTTAGTAAGTTGTTGAAAATGGCCCTTTGGATGATCCAATATTGAAAGCTATCTGATCTGTATATCCTAAAATATCAGCATTTATAAAGCACTTATCACTGTGGAATTGTACCTGAAATTACAAAACCCATAAGCTAGAATGCTACTAAAATCTTTATATGTTTTGAATTTTGTGAAGCAAGGGGACAAGAAACATTAGACACTTCACAAATTTTTTTTTAAAAGGAGCCATTTTCACACACACACACCTTAGATAGGCATCTCTACTAGTTCTATCTATTTAGTCAGCATGCTAGACTTGTTTTGTGTGATATTAAAACACCAAATAACCATACCATCATTACTTGAAATGTTTTCTGTGTCACACGGATTTTCAACTGTCATTGCCTCTGCAGATAGCTTCCCTTTCCCTTGTGCTTCTCCTAGAAAAATGCCAAAAGGGAGAAAACAACATGTACACTATCTGATTAATGTATAATTCTCAGATTCAATACTGCATTTTTTTGATAATCCACTGATATGCTATTAGCTGTATAGACTCTGATGTTCTGAGTGGCAGCCATTAAAGAAAAGGGCAGGGGATGTAGGGAGAGGACATGGTTTAAAGGAATTGCTTAAAAGTCTATATAGATCTGTGCTCCTTTTTTTAAAGTGGGATTGTTAAAACCACGGCATAATGTGCGATTTTGCCTCCCTGCCATTCTTTTCTGATCATTTTTGAAGAACCCCTTCTGTTCATAAAATGCAGTGTAGGATGGGGACCTAATCATACATTTAATGTTTCTCTATGTAGCAGAGTAAAAATAGATACACTAAGAGTTCATACACACTGAATAGTCATACACAACCTAGAATTGAAATGTACAAAAATGTATTTTATGGCTGGAACTCAATATTTTTATCCCGTCTGCCTCAGGCTTGTCTGGAAGCTCAGATTCAATCTCCTAGCAATATTATAAATGAAAAACATAAATGAATTGCTTATGTTATTCCATTCATGGCTCTTTCCAAATTCTACCAGTTAGTATTGCTGAGAGACCAATTTTTAGTGAATTTCCATTATGGCACTTTGGTATTTGGTGGCAACTATAAAGCTCATCATACTTACCCTGTGGCTAAGCTACAAGATTTCAAAAGATTGGTTGCTAAGCAATTGAGAGAATTTGGTAGTTATCCTGAGATAGCAAAGTGTACCGAGTTTTGAAACATTTCAAAATGGAACACTTTTAAGTGGGAACAATTTATCTCTTCAACAACAGAGACAGAGAAAGCATTCTAGAGTCATATAAACAGCACTCCCCCCCCTTTTGAAAGAAGTCTAGGGAGGGTTTTTTTTGGTATTTATGAGCTTTGAGGTTATATGTTTATTCTGCCCATAGACATGTATGTACCACTAACGTTTCTTCAATGAATTTGCTTTGCCATAGTACCTGCCAGAGACAATGCATTGTGATGGAGATTTTACTCTCCTCTGCAATGCCTGCGGTGACAATGTTAATCTTTTAAGTAGCCTTAATTGCACTATTTATGGCGGTACTGTGAATAAACACAAAAACAACAACCAATGAAGCAGAGAATACAAAACAAGAAAACATAACCAAGAAGCAGCTTGACAGGGATAGACTCAATTAGCCATTTGGATGGGGAAACAGGCAGCATCTAAGTGTCCATGACTGAGCTGTCACCGACTACTTTGGAAGAATCCTTCTTGACTTAAAAACCCTTCAATGAACCATAATTTTTGCACTGCCTCCTCCTTCATAGTTGTGTAAATTAGCCCCCCTCCTAGATGAATGAAATGTCTGTAAACAGCTGAGAGTTTATAGTTTGCATGTCAGTGAAGTCCTGAAGTGACAACTTTGTATGCATGTTAAAACGTCAAGCCTTCTCCTGAGAATTCTGAATAGCAAATAAAGTTTTCCCCTTGAGGTTTGTTATACACCAATGAGCCTAAACTTCCCACGCACTTCACCCATCTCTGTCTTTGACTCTCATGAAGGACAAAACCATGTCATTCTGATGTTGAAGCATACACATATTTTGCCAGGAATTTGTCAAGTGCAAGACTGAAGGTGCACGTTCAAAGTCACTAGCCAATTTCTTCCAACAAAATCAATGTGAAATTTGGATTAGCATGAAAGCACTGTTTGATCAATGAAGATACACTGAATGGTCTTAATAGGGTCTTGCTACATTTTTGAACGGCTCATGGAACGGGCTACTTAAAAAACAAAACCTCAGAAAAACAATCATTCTGCAGTCAAAGCATCAGGCGGAGATTTCAGATGTTTCCTATTGACACTTCCCCAACATCTGATGTGTGTGTTTGGGATCCCTGCTAAATACCAACACATTCTGACTGACAGTTGATGCTTCATGCATCAGACTTTTCCTCCTTTAAAAGACTGTCTATTAACCAAATAAACTAGACATGATATGACAGGCTATGCCTTGGCTCCCAATTTCTATAACATTTAGAGATATCTAGATGTGCTGGTATTGTCAGGCACTAAAGACGTCTGTGTGAAGTTCACAGGTTCTCTCCCAAGAACTCCCATTAGCTAGCCAGCATGCCTGACTTCACTACACTGAAAAAAGGTTTCTCTGTTTGAATTTCAGAAATTCTCCTGTGTAGCTGGCAGGCATACAGCATTACTAGCAGTGTGCTGGGAAAAAGATAGAGCTAAATTAAAGGAAATCTTGCTAATTAGGGCCTGGTCCAGGACGGGTGAAACCAGTGGGAGTTGAGGGCATTCAGAACCTCATTGCTGGCACGCTGCATCTTGCAGGATTTGGCCCAGAGAGAGACAGTGGAAAGAGGAGCAATAGTAGCAAATAATATAAAACAAACCCCACAAGAACTATTTCCCTGTTGTCTCTTTCACCTCCTTATTTCACAACAGAGCTTTCAAGGAGTTTTGGGTCATGCTTTATATTGCCAGTGGTAAAAATCATTGTCAGAAGCAATGTTAGGACCCAGTAGTCCACAGAGGAAAAGGTAAAGGGGAATTCAGAGCCTTTAACACATACAGCAATACTGCTGCAGGACTTGTAAAGTGACTCTAGTCTCTATCTATTAGATCAGCAAGTTTTCCAAAGGACTGTGACGCGCTATGTAAATCTTCATTTTGTTCAAACTAACTTGCTAGTGTGTGTGTGTGTGTGTGTGTGTGTGTGTGTGTGTGTCTGAGAATGGTAAGCATTCATTATACTGATATGCCTGTGGAACAGGTATTATTCCAAACTGCTTCTTTCCTGCTGTGCAATAAAACTGAGTGCCACAAAGAAATGAGTCTATTTCACATAAACAGCTGAATCGGATCAAAACAAGAACCCCCTCGAAAAGCAATTTGTTCCGCAATTGTTTTTTCCCCCCTTCCCCAGTTTGATTGCTGCTGCTCAGAGCACAAAGGAAAAGGTGTATTGCAGGGCTTCTAGCAGGAGATGAAAGATACTAAAATGGAGGGAGCCTGGGAGATACCACTTTCAATTTCAATTACCATTTCCAATTGTACTACTGACAGACTAGATTATCCTAACTCTTTGTAGGTTGGTTATTTTACTAGGAAAGCAGTAAATGAAGTCAGGCATACAGTACAGGAAGGATGCTAGGATGTATGCAAAATGCCTCCAGCCAGCTTTTAAATACACAAGGCAAATGTTTTCTCAGAACTTGGAAAATCCCATAGGTATTCTTTTTAAAATGTTCTCTGTGGTTACAATGTGTCAATGGCTCCAAGCAGCTGCAGTTAAATACAATTATTTCTTTGAACAGATGAAGTCCTAAATTCACCTGCAGTTCACTAAATTAAACTGGAGATGTGATGCATGAAGGAGAATACCCATTAGTATAGTTTTTACAAGTGTATGGGTACCGAAAAGAGACATCGAGGCTGATTTTTCATGTTTTCTTGATAAGCTAATAATGAAAAGGAGTAAATAGACCTCTTCACCCAAGGTGTTACGACCTATACAGAATTTTGCATCTATACACACTGAAGATACTAGGTAACTAGATATTCTTACAGACCATTTTATAGTGAAACCCATGAAACTTGTTATTACCAGAAGTCAATAGCTCAATTAGCTTCTGCTAGGCTGAAAATTAATCAAAGCTTTGCTATACGGATATTGATCAAATCATACATGGAGGAAAATTTACACGGATGCTTTCATATGAAATCAAATCAATTAGGCAAGTGTCATGACAACTGTTGACACACTATGGATTTGATCCAAGGGCCACTGACGTCACTAAGACGATTCCTAATGGATTTTAGATAACTGATTGAAACCTCAATCCTGCAAAGAACTCTATGTAGGTGGACCTTTGCACCCATGCACTGCTCATTAGAGGGTCATGCACTAAGTTTATAAAAGCAAACTTTTTTTAAATTGCTTATATTATTAAACAAGCAATTCCAAGATCAATGCCCCCACTACAATATCAAAGAAATAACATAATGGTTGCTCCTCCATTATGAGAACTCTGCCGTTCTTCCTGGAGAAACATTTCATACACATTTACTTAACACATGAACTCCTCCACATTTCTATTGTTTTTAAAAAATGTCCTGATCCTGTTTAACAATTATCCAAGGCAGATATTCAGAGACATGCTTGCTCCTTCCTCATCAATACTCTCTGCTTACTCGTGTGAGGAAGAAATTGGACCAATTCCTGACATGGCCAGCAATTTAGCATTGTAATCCTGCCCCTCCCAAATTCACACAATGCACACTGGCAGTCCGGGCAATGGATAGGCATTAGGAGGTGGGCTTGGGATAGGGGCTGTGTGTTTCAGTGTGTGTCATCCCTTTTTCCTGATCCACCTGCTTCCTCTTTCTTGGATTCTGTCTACTCCTGGAATACGTGGATCGGGTGGCTGTGCAGGTATGGGTCCCAAGGTAATGGTACTTTGAGGAAATTATTTGGAGTCTATTTTGGGAACAAGAGAAAAGATGGCAATAATAGGATGCACAGATTTGAATTTATGAAACCACACTGATTTAAACTGGAAGAGGTTATAATGTTACAAACACAGAATTATGATTTAAATTTGTTCCAAATCAAGTCAAAAAGTCAAAAGCTTGAAAATGTTCATGAACCATAAAGAAAAGAGAAATCAGTTCAGGTCCACTGATACATTTTGTTTCAATTTTGATTATTTTTAATTTTATTTTTTACTCTAATTAGCGTAAATTTCTAAAAGAAAAGTTGTTTCAAGCCAAAAAGCCAGACTTTTTCATTTGCTGAATGTTGAAATGGGATGTTTTGATAATTCTGAAACTTTTTTTCCAACATTTTTTTGAGTCAAGAAATTTGTTGGAAACTGACTCTTTGCCACAAAAGATTTCAGTTTTGACTAATTGGGACTTTTCAATGAAAAAATATTTGGTTGAAAATTCCTGACCAGTTCTGA